ATAAACAATTTCATCTTTGAATTGAATAAGACAACGAGTACAAAAAAATACTATAAATATGAAGATCCAAGTTGTACTGTTATTGCACGTACTGATCTTGAAGCTATTCTTTTGAACATTAAAAGTGATCATTGTCATCCATCTGAACCAGAAAAAATTCAAATTCAAACAAGTTGTCAAAGCACGTGCTATAAGTGAAAGTACACCCATTCCACAAATTTATGGCGAGGAAGCAGGATTTACCCTACTAATGTTGAAAGGTAAAAATGTCGAAACAAAAACGTCGAAAGTAAAATGTCGAAAGATAAAAACGTCGAAAGATAAAAATATCGAAAGATAAAAATGTCGAGAGTAAAAATGTCGATCGATACAAATGTCGAAAGTAAAAAAGTCGAAATAAAAAGATGTCGAATGAAAAAATATCGATATTTTAGAATGTCGAAAAATGCAAAATATTTATAAAAATTATCGAATTATATTTTTTTAGACAGATCTAATAATTAACATTACAAGCTGCGAAAGCGGAGGCATACAAACTAGATAACTGAAACAAAAATAACACTCAGCGAATCAATAAAGTACATATATTTTGTAACCATTATGATTGGTTTATTACGTAACGTACCAATTGTTAACTGATATTCGAGTCTTTATTTACAAAAGTGAACAAAGGTATCTATATAGTATATACGTCTATTTAAAGAAGATTAAGTACATTTCGAAAAATAACTACTATGTCGGCTTCACCGGATTCATCTGATAATTCAAATACAAATATTTCTTTCATGACATCAAGCAAAGGTCAGCGATTATTAATTATGAATGAACATGTATATAGATGCAACAAGACGGTTCGTAAGAAATATTGGATGTGCGTTGTTAGTGGATGTTCAGTAGTTGTTCATACAGATGAAAATGATACGTATATATGTGGTGGTAAATATGATCACAATCATGAGTCAAATTCAGATTTAATTCAGAAAAAACGTCTTCGTCAACAAATGAAACAACGTGTTTTGAATGAATTAACTCCAATTGGTACGATATATGAAGAAGAAATAGCAAAATCATCGCTCAGTGCTTCCGGTGTTGCTACGTTTCCAACACACCAAGAAATTCGTAAGTCATTAATAAACGAGTTGCAATTAATAGCTTTTTAATTCTATCATTAGATCAAACTTTTGCGAAAGCTCGTCGAAAAATGGTTCCTTCGCTTCCTCAATCATGTTTATTTACCATTCCGGATCAATATACATTGACCTCCGATGGCAAAAGATTTTTACTAATGGACGAGACACGTGTAAGACGTGAACGTCTTCTCGTATATGCAAGTGATATTCAACTTGATATATTATTTGATTCACAAATTATATACATGGATGGTACTTTTTCAAAAGCGCCACCTCATTTCATGCAAATTTATATCATTCATGGAATCAAACACGATGCATGTAGGATAAAAATAAATATTAAATTCTAAAGATTTTCCGTTCTCTATTAAGGTATGCCATGTGTATTTGCAATGACTGTTAATAAAAAGGCCGTCACTTATCGCCAGATATTTTCTGAACTAAAGCATTTGGCTTCAGAACGTGGTAAACACTTTTCACCGAATTTAATTGTTACAGATTTTGAATCTGGTGTTATTCCGGTAGTCAAAACAGAAGTGAGTATTGTTTTTCAAAAAAAAGTATATTTCTATTTTGATGATTTTTTATTTTACTAGTTTTCATCATCAAAACATTATGGTTGTTATTTTCATTATACGCAATGCATTTACAAACAAATACAACAATTAGGAATTCAACAGCAATATTTCAATGATGAAACTCTACGTGGTCTTTGTAAGAAGCTAATGGCCCTGGCCTTGATGCCACAAGATACAGTATTGGCTGGATATAATGAAATTCGTACTAATGCTGAAAGTTTACAAGATGCACCAATAAAACAGTTATTAACTTATTTTGAAAATAATTGGTTATCGGATCTTGATATGTGGAATGTATCTACGACTGATTCAAGAACAAACAATGTGTGTGAAGGTGATAATGAATGATGTCTTCTTTTAATGACCACTATTGTCTTATTTTTTATTGAAGGATATCACAGTAGAATGAATCATCGCATTCACCGAAATCATCCCAACATGTGGCAATTTATAAAATTCCTTCAAGCCGAAGAAAAACGACTTCAGACAATTGTCCTCCAATGGTCTGCTGGTGCATCAAAGAAAGCAAATCCACGTACAACATTTATTCAAAAACGAATAAATACTCTTCATGATCGATACGATAATGGTGTTATTGACTCATCAGATCTTCTTACTGGTCTGTCAATGCTCATTGGAAAGAAGAAAAAATAAATATGAAGCATAAACATTTTTATTCGAGTTGTTGATTTAGGGATTTGCCGTTTTTCACTTTTACTTCGCGTTAAAAATTTTTTATCAATAAAAGTTCTACATGATACAAACATATTACAGCAGGGGCCAGTTGAATTTCCCCCCTCTGTTTTTTTTTTGTTTTTATTACTATAATTCTTTTATTTTTTAATCTATTATATATAGCGAGAAAGCCCAGAATGCGCTGCATCTTTTGATATATTTAGGTTGAACATTAGATGTACTTTAATGTGTGAAAAATGTATAAGAAATAAGAATGACATTCTTTTTTTTACTACGACATCGGTTGTCTATAATGCTGAAACATTCTTTGTTTTGTATATCTCGGCTT